TATATATATTTCTAAGCCTTGAACATGTCCATCAAGACAAACAAAGAACTAAAAGCTAATAGGCAGAGTTGTCCATTTAAAGAGACTTGTACACATACATGGACATACATAAACATTCAGCCACGAGAACTGGTTGTGACGGAATACACTGATAAAACTACCCATTAACAAACTGTTAAAATATTAAGAAAAAGATGTCCCTACATTCAATGAGTACTTTTAAAAAATAAATAATATTGAACATCTTTTCATGTTGGTGTAATTTGGCAATATACAGATAAAAACTGCTTTGAATTGTTTGGAGGTATATTGCTTAAGAGCACGACTATTAATGAAGGTTTTCTTTATGCGGTCCTCTAGAGTCTAAAGGGCCAAAATAAATAATCGTGGCGGGCCGGATTTGGCTCCCAGGCCTAGGGTTTAACACATTTGCTCCAGATTTTTACGTTGGTTTTAATTAATAATCAAATTTACAGTGAAAGTAATCACTTCTGGCAGAACAGGAGCAGGCTGTCTGTTTCAGCAGATCTCACTTACAGTTCAGTTGTCTCTTTTGTTATTGTTTTTCTTTCTGTTGTCAAACCTGAATGTGTGAATCTTCATGTTCCAACTTGTTTGTGTACTTTGCTTCTGGTATGCCTAAATTCACTTTGATTCTATTCTATTCTATTCTATTTTTGCGTCAGTGGAAGATTTATTACAACACTTTTCAACAATTAATAAATTCCTGTTTTGGGCAGATCTTGAAAATCAGCCAGTAACAAACCAGTTACTACACATATTATCTAGTTATTTTAGAGCTCTCGTTGTACCTGGTATATCGAGAAGTCATGTCAAGAGTTCATCTTGGCTATTTTTACATGACAATATTGTTTAACCCCAGTTCTGAAGAGCAAGGCTATGTTTCTCTAACAGTGTGTATTTTATATTTTGCTCAAGCTTTAAATCAAATACATTTTTAACAGTAAACATAATAAATATGATTCCAAGATGTATCAAAAGTTACAAAACCTTTCCCTTTGAGTCCACTCCAAGAAGCGCATCCTCCAGGATCTGCAGCGCCTCCTCAGCGGTCGAGTGGACAAATGTTCCCCTGCAAACGAACCTAATGTCGGTGACAGACTTCTGAGAAGTTTCCATGTTTCCACCAGAGCAGCGTAAATGTGCAAACAGAGCGGCGGCGAAGGCTACCTGCCGCAAAAAAATCGAGTTTTATAGGCTGCCCTACAATCCACCCCCGAGGAGGCGCTCGTTTTTCACTTGACCGCAGAGACTATCCGCAGCCAATCAGAAGCAGCGTGGAAGCCTGTGTGGGTGTGTGTGCGTGGGAGCATGAATTCGTTGTTTATCATAAGTTACAGCGATCAGCGAGTTTCATAAGTGTGGACGTGCCAATTTCCGTTTTTGCAAGTTGGGGAAAAAGTAACTTGCATAGTTCAGCCCCAAATTATGACAGATTTGGGTGTAAAGTAATATTTTAGTTTGATCAACATGTTGACAAAACATTGCAGTCCCTGCAAAAAAAAAAAAAAAAAAAAAAAAAAAAAAAAAAAAAAAGCCAAATATTCAGTGGATATGCTACACGGCGCATACTTTTCAATACTCTCTACAAACAATCATTGTCTATTATGTACTACTACTTTTCTGAGAAACAGAATATTTATCAACAAACTAAATGCTTGAAATGTAACCATCTGTCAGGAATGAATCAATACAACAAATACATTTCATGCTTTAAACTGAAAAACAGAAATGATGTAACTTTCCTGTGACACCCTCATTGACAGATATTCTGGTAAAGTTACCAACAGAAGTGGCAATCAGCAGTAATCTAAAAATGAAGCAACAGGAAGATAAACCGGATGACATATTACTTCATTTTAAAGAACAACTTGCTGTCGGTGGACAATCAATAAAATAAATAAATAAAAAAAATAGTTTTATCAAAGTCTCAATTTAAAATCTTGATCTAGCATTAATTAAACATCATTAAATATTAATCATTGTACTACAAAATTAAAGTGCATAGTTAAATTTGTCTGGCATTTTCACATTTGCAACCTTTGACTAAAGCCACTGCTAGCAAAGAGCCTCAAAAAAGATCTAATTATACAAAGGTATCAGTCAGCAGAAGGATATGGAGAAAAAAAATCCACAGCATTATTTACTTACAGCAATACACTGAAAACAGTCAATAAGTGGCGAAAATAAAACTGCTTAAAAACTGCTGAGGGAAATTAAAGTTTTGAAATGGCTTAAACCACAATCCAGACTCCATTCAACATAAAATGGAGGCACCTGCAGATGGGCGGTCTGACTGATAACTTTTGCAATTCTAGAAAATCCTTTTCTAGAAGACTGAATGCTGAAATTTAAACAAAGTCTGCTTTAAGCCAAGTGTTGGCTTAAATAGTGTAAATTGATTTACATTATATGTTTAGTCTATCGCCAGAAGAGGACATTCATTACTACAATACTGCACTTGCAGATATTTCATTGTATCTCACTAGTAGATTATATGTTCCTCTCGTTTTTTGCAGTGTTATTTAACCATATTTGGTGGAGTTTCATGACAAAGAAGCTTAAACTGTTAAGCTGCACTAGAGCACAATGTCTCTGAGAATGATATCTTAGCCTTAATCATAGACTAAAATTGCTCAGTACTGGATCTTGTTCTCTAAACTTCAGGCTTAAAGTTGGCATAGTATTTGTCACTTGGAAGTTCCCCAGTAAACTTTTCCTTTTTAGTCATCTTGAGTAAGATCAAGATTTCAGTCATGAGTGTGTCAGAGAACCATGTGAGGACATCAGGCTGTAAGTAAAAGTGCGTCCCATGAGATCCATGACTAACGCGGATGTTCGTCTCAGTGTTGCTCCCTGGTGAGGAAATAACTTTTTAATTTACCGAGCCCACTTGACGTATGAGAACATGTGTTTATTTTTGGAAATGGAAGCATCCATGAACAATGTCTAAGGGCACTGCGTTCTTACAGTAATTGTAAGAACAATTACAATTACTGTAATGTTAGTCCATGGATTCCAGTAAGTGTGTTCAGTCTGTTGCAATTGTACATTGTGTGCCTGGATGAGACCTAAAAAAACAAGAAGAAGCAGAGAAGGGATGTTGATGAAGAGCTCCATGACAACAGTTTGTGAATCATGCAACAAAAAAAAAAGATATCTCAGCCGTTAACACAAACTACAGAGCCTTGCTGTTTATATTAGTTTTTGTGTATTTTGTCACATTACAATCACAAACCTTAGTATAATCTGATGAAACCACATGTGTCTCACCGGCGCAAAGTCGCACATAATTTGTGAGGTTGAAAAAAATTTGACACATCAAAAAAAGACGATTTTCCATTTGTAATCAGGCCTCCAGTGCAAATCCTTTCAATGCGTTGCTGCGATTACAGATTCAGATCTGTCAGAGTATGTTTCAGTCAGAGTCCCACATCCAGACACTGACAATTTTCCCCATTTTTCTTTACAAAGTAGCTCAAGCTCAGTCCGATTTAGAGTATCTCTGAACATCCTGTTTGACATTTCGCCACAGATTCTCAATTGAATTTAGGTCTGGGCTTTGACTGGTCCCATTCTCACTCATGAATATGGATATCATCAAAGCCGTTCCATTGTTAGGGTTTTGGAATTTTTTTTTTTTTGGAAAGTTAACCTTTTCCCAAATGTCAAGTCCTTTGCAGCCTACAACAGCCTTTCTTTCAGCCATATAACTCTGACCAGCTGTCCTGTCCCCAATGAAACTGCTATGCACACCATCAACAGGCAAGATGTAATTTCATGACTGAACAAAGGCAATGCTCCAACTCAGTCCAAAATGTTGATAAAACATTAGAGAGATGCAGACTTTTTCCAGTAAACTTTGCACTTCTGGGCTCTATGTAAGGTTCCAGGTCTTAAATATGGCGGCATATATTCCTTGTAGTTTCCGATTTGTTTCTTCTCAAAGCTGTGGGAGTCAATCCTTGTTTCTCAACACATTTCTTGTGACTCTGTTGTTTATTTGGAACAAAATAGTGACCATACCTAAATATCTTGGCAATTTGCTCCATTAAAAACAGCTGGTCGAACTTGATTTGATTTTGGGTGTCCTCGTAAAGGGAAATGACAACACACCGCACTTTTCACACTTTTTATTTCAAAAAGAAGCTGGAGACTATTTAATTTCACTATTGTGCATTAATTTCTATTGTCCTATAACGTAAAATCACAGGAAAGTGATATGGCAATAAACAGGTAATATGATATGAAGGTACTGTTTGATGAATGTAGGAAAGAATTACTGAAAAAAAAAAGTTTTAGTTTGGATTATAATGTTTTCATAGAAAACTGGTTGCTAAAAAAAATCCTGTGGCCAGAAAGTTGAAAGATATCATTATAAATTGTGAAAAAATAAAAAATTTTCAAACTACAAAACAAAACAGGGTCTTTCAACGTATAGGATTTTGCCATTTGATTGGTATTTGAAAATGTAAGTAAAACTAAACAATGTTTTAATAAAAAAGGAAATACTGAGGAGATGAATGTAGATTTCAGGTTGTTTTCCTGCAACAACCAGCTTCTTTCTTTCATTTCAGCTTCTTAGAGGCAATAACAAAAACCTCATTCAGTCTAAATTTTGAAAAACAAACAAAAAAAAACATTAATCTTAAACATTTAGCAAAGACACGTCTGGAAAAATGGGTGAATTTTTCTGTTTCGAGTCCAAATCATCTTGTTCATCCTCAAGGTTGTCAAAATCATCATCATCATCGTCATCAGAGTTAAAATCTTCCTCTTCTTCTTTTCCTCGACTTTGTCCTTTCTTTTTCTCTTCATCTTCTTCTTCCTTCTTGTCTAAGTGTGAGTTCACCCTAAACAGGGGCAGAAACAGAAATTAATCTCTTTGTTTCTCTCATTTGCAGCAGAAAATGAGGACTGGGAATTTATTTATTTATTTTTAAATCTGGAAAATACTGAAAAAAAATAAATAAAAAAAATTCCTAAATTTTAGAACAAAAAATGTTTTTGTAGGAATTGAAATGAAGCTGAAGATATATACAATTATGAGCCACGTTGATTCAGTCATTTTTCCTCACAATCAGCGTTAATGTGTCTTATCGTCCAGAAGATGGCAGCCTTACGCATGTTGCCACGCATCTCTGCCGTGAGGGCAAATGGTAAAAAAAAAAAAAAAAAAAAAGGAATTTCTTCCCTTCAGACCAGACTGTTTTTTGTTTGTTTTTTTTTTAAGAGAATTTAGGTCAGACCAAAACACAGAAAGATTTTATCCACTCACGGAATAATGATGTCTTCTTTCTTCCCACACTTACAGCAGATCTCAAGCTGAAGCGAACAGGGCTTACAGACAATGTGATATGCATCCCTCACTGTCTTTTGAGAGCACTTGACACTGTAAAAGAAAAAGAAAAGAAAAGAAAAAAAACACAGATTGTAATCAATTAATTTCGGAAAAGATTTTCTGCACATGCATGACAATGAAACGTGCCAACGGTGTATTAAATGTGCCTGTTGGGTCCCTCAAGTCTTGTGTTGCTGTTTTTGTGACAGGCCAAATTTAGGCAGCAACCTTTTTTTAACAATGTGGAATCAGCACGCTTTAAAAAAGAAAAAAAAGTCCCACTTTAGAAATTGAATTTTTGAAAAGAAAAGGCAAATGTTATTGATCATTGACATCCATGCTTATTGGTCCTTCCAGCAGATAAAGGGCTTCAATATTTTACTTCAGAAAAGGCAGATCGGCTCAACATCTCAACAGTCCGGACCGCTATCCAATCAAAATTTTATGTGAAATAATCATTTTTACCATATCTTTACTAACTGTGGGTGAGTCCAGATTTCTACTATTATAATTGTCAGACAAAACCATCCTTTCAATTATTTAAACCATTTTGAGAAATCAACGAGGGGCCTAAACGTACATACTCACCACTTTTTGGGTTGTGTTAGTGGCTTGTATTTGTTGTACTTGACTTTCCACTCAAGAACACCCTTACAGTGTTGACAGAGTCCATCATGGATCTTTGAATTCGCCTTCTGTAGTTCAAAATCATTAACGAGACAATGTGGGGATATTAGAATGAGATGTAGTAATGCACAGTGCTAATCTAAATAGATGTATTCTAACAACTCATTCTGTTTTGGGGTGAAATTACTGCACAATTACTGTGGTCCTTTGTTGGTTTCTGGTTTATGATAGTCCTGGGCTTCCGTGCTTCTGCATCCCTTCCAAAACTAGTTGTGGTGTGTTTTTATTTTCCTGTTGGAAGTACCATCTAATCCAAACTGACACACTAAGAGGAAATAAAATTGGTTCACCACAGAAGTCTATGCCTATCATAAACCAGAAGCTAAAGAAGAACCAGTGTTTGTTGGAGTTATTAGATTTAAAAAACTGGACCAACTGCCAAGCATGGTGATGGTAGCATAATCCTAAGGGTTAGGTTCTAGATAGAGGAGCTTAATTTACATTCAAACGGATCTTTACCAATTAGAGCCACTTTTTCCACTCTTCCTTCAATCAAATAAATAAGGTAACTGAATTGCAATTTACGAAGACATGATATGGTTTCTTTATTTTCAAGATATCAAGCAATAAAAGTAACCAAATGTTAAAAGAAGGCTACTGACGTACCTTCACTTGTGCAGTCGCTCCGTACTTGTCGTTTTTGAAGGCAGTGTTGTTTTGATGCTTCTGAGCTCGTGAGCGAGACACGTTTCCTTTCTGAGAGCTCATTTTATTTTCTCTTTAGCTAAACGACGTTGGTTTTGGTTGAAAAATCCAACAAGCATGCCAGCGGAGGAGAGGCTTAACCCGGAAGCAGTAAGGAGCACGTCACAAAACGTTTAGGGGTCAAAACACAGACCATTTTAATTAAAGATATTAAGATAAACAGTGTAGCCTATGGTTTTGCTGCACTAGTATATAATGTCACCTTTATTTATTATTTAAACTTTGGCGTAATAGGAAGCGTTTTTCAATGACGTCACCTGTTAGGTTGCAACATAGTTGCATAGTGAACGCCCCGGTGGATGCAGATTGAGCTTTTTGTTCCAATAGTAATTTCTGATTGGCTGAACTAAACGTCAATAACATTGTCACGCTGTCGCACATAGATGTAGAAGAGTAGACACGGACACTGTGTCCCACAGCCTAGAGAAATAAAAATACGTCAGAGCGGGCGCCATGTTGTAAGTGGCAAGCCTGCCACTTTTTCTTTTCTTTTTTTTACTGGTTATGGTGACACATTTTTTCATACACTAATATTAATTTTAGAACTAATAATGGTGTTTATTGAAACAATGTGAATAAAAGAACAAACAAAAAAATATATATATTAAGCAACATAAAACAGAGTACTTAAAGTACTTAACTAGCTCACCACTAAAAACTTACATTAACTTAAAAAAAAGTCTGATATGTTATTTTCAATAAGTATTAGTGGCTTCAAACTGTCTAAATCATCTCTTGGTCGCTAGTTGTTTATAAGAACAGCTCCGTTGAAAGCACCTGGGTGCAATTAAAACTGAATGAAGATCAACATCAAATGTGTTTCTTAATAAAATAAACAATTTAAAATTTTCCCTTCAGGACAGTTTTTCATTCTTACTTTCTGGTTACATTTTTTTTTTTTTTTACATTTGTATTAACCTACATGCATCATCTTTCCCATCACTTTGCTGCTCTCTGAATTTCCTCACTGGGGGATTATAAAGAAGACCAACTGAACATTGCAACAATCTACCTGAAATTAGGGGTGCACCGATAAATTGGACCCAATTTTATTCATTTAGGAAGATCAATTAATATTATTAATCTATCTTATGAAGATAGATTAATTTGGAAGATCAGTGATCGGTCAATACTTACATGTTTTGAACATGACTGTTATCTGTACTCCAGTGGCATCACAGTCAACAGATCTCAATCCAATAGTGTAGCTTGGTCATGTGAAGGAACTGAGGGGATTGCGACATGGATGTACATCAACTGCATTATGTTGTCATATCAATATCGAGCAACAATCTCTGACGAATGTTTCTGAAACCTCTTTGACATAGATAGTTAAGGCTGTTCTGAGGGTTTAACCCACTTTTGCAAGTCATCATTGGCCAATTTGTACTGACATTTACCATCTTTTATTAATCATACAAGTCTTGTTGGGTGCGCGTACTATTCACAATGTTATGTACAACATGCCCTGTTTTCATTTCTGAAAACAGACACATTTGTTTTCAGAAAAACTGCAACAAAGCTGCTTCAGGTGTTCTGAAACACCTAAAACACCTTAGTAAGTGTCTCACCCCTATTGAAGAAGTATCTTTTGAGCAAAAGATGCTTTTTGAGAATCGTTTGCCGGTGCCACTCACAATATGGCGGCGGTGTTAACGCCAGCGTTCGTCTACCTCCTCTCCGTCTATGTTGCCACTGTGCGGCGTCGTGTCGGACCTGCCCAACATTTCCTCAAACAGTCCACAAATGGTGGCCTGGCTTTAGCAAACTCCTCGCCATTGGTCCTCGCAGCTGCCGTCCCGACGCCTCGCCCTCTTCACAAGCGAAGTGATAACCAGAACGAAAGCAGAGATGTTTCGGAGCCAAGTGATACAGCTGTGAACTCTGTCGCGAATCGTTTCCGATTTGTTTTCCGGATTTTCAGACCCTTTGTGTTTTGTTTTGTTGTTTTTGTATTTTTTTTTTTTTTTGTATTTTTTTTTACCAATGTCTTCGCTGAGGTTTGTCTACTTGGACAGCGTGAATGAAGCAGCCTTGTTATAATTCTAGACCGTATGCCGAGAGAAAAGCGAGGTGGAAGAAAGAAAGAAACAACAATAGAAAAAAGAAAAAGGCTGTTTGGACCCGGAGGACGAAGCGCCTCGCTTCCGGACCTGTGAGGGGTATCTACACTCAACGTGACATTGATAACTGATAGGAGATAAAACCGAGGATAATCTGCGGCCGGGGATAGCCCCGACAATCTGCTGGCGTCGAAAAGAAGATAAATTAGTTTCCGTGGTGTGAATAAAACACTACACAGTGGCGACGCTGTCTCCAGGAAGAAAAAAGGAAGAAGAAAAAAGAAAACACCACGGTTCAGGTAACGTTGGCACAATCTATCTCTTCGTTTTAAAGAAAAGAAAGAAGAAGAAAAAACACTCCTACTGTGGTTTAGCAAACAGTCCTACAAATCTGACCAGATGCAACCCGGATGGAGAAGGACTGTGGGAAGCGGACAGGCTTTTCCTGGGATTGGGCTCCTTTGGGGAAGCCACTTGAGTAAGATGCTGAAGAACCATCGTGCATTTTTAATAGGGGACATTTATAATCACAAGTGGCTTCAAAGAGTCTAAATCATCTCTTGTGCTGCCAGTTGTTTATAAGAACAGCTTCAGCAGACTAGCTATTAAGAAGAGTTGAAAGCACATGGGTGCAATTAAAACTGAATTAGCTTCAACATCAGATGTGCTTTTCAAATAAGCAATGTTAGCATTTAAACATCAAAACGGACACATGGAGGAATGAAAGAATCATAAATTCCGATTAAAGCGCCACATACAAACTAATGTCTACATCTGGGCAGAAAATCTAAGCGTTTCCTGTTCCTTTTTTTTTTTTTTTTTTTGGTTAATGGTTTAGCTAAATGGATAACATCGCTGCCAGGCATTTTTTAGAGTGCATTCGTTTATTTATTTTATTTTATTTTATTTTATTTTTTTTACCAGAGTAAAAGTCACATGTCTTTCATTCTTTCCAGCAGGGCCACCAAAGCGTGTAAAATAAGGAGAAAGATCTGGGAAACATGGCAGTAGATCCTCCTTACTGAAAATAAACTGTATCACACTGATTTCTTTATTATTATTTTGTGTGTCTGTGTTTGGCTGAAATTATATATATATATATATATTTTTTTTTTCCAACTTGGCTATAGTTCTTAACTTTACGGCACATCTTACTTTATTCCAACAAAGAATCTGCTGCAGACTCACCTGTGGTCAGGATGTTGCCAAACGTTAAGTTGGCAGTGCAAAATATCAGGGAAACGTGTAACTGCAACCCTACTGCTAAATATATAAGGTTTCCCCCAGAAAACCTGCTAAGCCCGGTGGTTGGATGGCAGGGCAGTCATTCATCCAGCGGCCCGTCTTTTTGAGTTAAAAAATGTTTAAAGCTGACAGGAAATTTGAAAATATCACTTGATTATTATGCGTTATTAAAAGATTGGAAGATTAAAACCTGAGCACTAACTACAAAATCTTAAAAAAGCAAACACTTAAAAAAAAAAAAAAAAAAAACTTTCATAAATAAGCAATGATTAGCCTGGTGGGGGCACAAGTAAAGCCAGGTGGCCCGCCAGTCTTATAATACACTGGGGGAAACGCTGCCAGTTTTTCTGGATCTCTTATTTATTTATTTATTTTTTTCCATCATTGCGATTTTCTCATACCTTGTTTGTATTAGAGTCTTCTTAGCCACTAAAAATATACATCACATGGGTTCAGCACAGGTAGTTAATGTTATGCGTTATTAGGATGCAGAATCTGAAAGTGTAGCAATTGAAATGTGATATTTTCAAAGATACTGCCTCCACACTGTTTGTTCTAGTTGGGACCTTGCAGACACTGATAATGCGGTGACGATTGCTTTCCAATCTTGAGCTCCTACTTCACATGATGTTTAGTCCATAGTCCATTGGCATATAATGACCGGCGGAGCATTTGCTATTTCAACCATTCAGATTTGTCAACGTTCATCCATTTCAGGACAATGACTACAAAATCTGTTGTACATTACTATTATTTCATGATTGAACTTCTGGACATGAAGGCTAAGTACTTCTACTTGCATTAAGCTTAAAACACCAATCAAACCTTAGATGAAACAAGACTTGGAGCTATTACCAAACGCTGCAGGCTTTTAACATCTCTAATTGTATTTTTGTTTAAATGTGACTTTTCTTGCTTAAAGCTGATTAAATCACTTGCTCTACTGCTAAACTCAAATTCTACATAACAATTTTGGAAACTGTTTCTTCCTTACGCCACTCCTTTAACAATAAATCAACCATTCAAGCACCCAAACTCGGAGAAGTTGGTCCTCTTTCAGATACGATGACTTTCAAATAACTGTTTGTGTTTTGTTGTTTTTTTAAAGCTCTTAAACCACATTAATTGATAGCAAGAGAATGTAATCTGTTTCTAGCTTGTTCCACATAAGGTTAAAGTAATTCATAGTCCTTGACTTTTTAGCTGACAATTTAAAGATAACTATTTCTGTGTGTGTGTGTGTGTGTGTGTGTGTGTGTGTGTGTGTGTGTGTATTCCTGAAGTATGCACTGAATGTAAACAGTTGAATCCGTTTTAGTCATTGTTTCTCTCGCTGTCCCACTTTGAAGGATGAACCATCTAACCTTCAGTGAGCTATGTTGCCTGTTCTGCTGCCCACCGTGCCCCAGCAAGATCGCCTCCAAGCTGGCCTTCCTCCCTCCAGAGCCCACCTACAGCCTCATGTGCGACGAAAGCGGCGGCAGATGGACGCTGCACCTCTCGGAGCGGGCCGACTGGCAGTACTCGGCGCGAGAGAAGGACGCCATCGAGTGTTTCATGACGCGCACCTCCAGAGGGAACCGCATTGCCTGCATGTTTGTGCGCTGCTCACCCAACGCCCGCTACACTCTGTTGTTCTCCCACGGGAATGCGGTGGACCTGGGCCAAATGAGCAGTTTCTACATCGGTCTGGGCTCCAGGATCAACTGTAACGTCTTCTCCTACGACTACTCGGGCTACGGAGCCAGCTCTGGGAAACCTTCGGAGAAAAACCTGTATGCAGATGTGGATGCTGCATGGCACGCACTGCGATCACGGTAAGGAGGAGAATGAGCGAATGAAAGGGGGAAGAAATCCTAAAAACAGATATATATATATATATATATATATATATATATATATATATATTATTTTTATTTTTTAAGATATTAGCATGCTGTTAATTTGTCGCTAAAGCAGAACACCCACAACATATCTCTAGTTTTATAAATGGATGTACATATTAGGTTGTAACTTTTTTTTTTTTAAATTAAATATGCATTGCAACTAAATCAACACTGTGAGCGGAAAGGGAAGTGACAGATGCAGCTGAAACCAGATATTTGCCAACAGTGTAGAGACAGAGACTTTTTCTTGTTTTTTTAAATTCAACAATAATGAGGAACAGACTTCAGAGCCAGAGGTGTGTACATGCATTATGTCTGTATTTGGTAAGAGGTATCCTGTATGACATTTGATCAATCATTTTGCATATCCAAATTTCTCTCAGTGTTTTTCTGTAATTCTGGCCCATTCATACTTAAACCAGTTTGTACCCAATTTGACAGTAAGTTCTTGTTTTTTGTTTTGTTTTTTTCCAATTGGAAGGGCCATTTTTGCTTGAGCTGAAACTTTCTGGTTGATGTCTATGGATATTTCCACATATGGTTCCATCCTCATGATGCCATTGATTTTTTTTATTTTATTTTTTTTAATTCACCAGTCTCTTGCAAAACAAACCCATCAGATATCACAATGCAGTTAACCATGTTGGAATGGAATGATGTTCTCAGGCTTTGAAGCATCACTCCTTTTGTTCTTCTAAATGCAATCATGGCATATACTCTTCCATATTAGGCTCATCACACTGCAGCATTTGCCCCCCGAAAGGCCTTAACTCATAAGTCCATTTGCCATCTTAAAATCTGATTTTTGTTGTTGTTGTTGTTGTTTTTGAGGAAATGGCTTCTTCCTTCCTGGGTGACCTTTCAGCCCATGTTGGTACAGAACTCGTTTCACTGTGGACAATGACCATTTTACCAGCGTTAGCACCCAGACACATTCATCTCTGCCACACAGAACCCGTCTCCTTCCTGAACAGAATGATGGCTGCACTTTTCCATGGCTTTTATTACTGGACTATATTTGTTTGAACACATTAACAAGGGGCTTTCAGGCTTCTGGAAATTGTACATAAGGATGAATCGGACACTTGTACTGTTCCACAATTCTCTTCCTGATATCTTTGCTTATTATTATTATTTTATGTATATATGTAATAGGCTTGATGCCACAAAATGAAGCGGCATATTTGAGCCGTTTGAAAGCCTTTTGTCACTGACTAAGCTTTCAAGAATACATGCTATATAAACAGATATAGTAATTGCAGCTGTTTGTCAATGTTGCCTTTGACAGGTTTACATTGGAAGGATACAAATACAGGGATGGAGCTAAAAGGAAGTGATTAGGAGGGGGGGGGAAGGCTAATATGACACAAGTAGGAAGTTGTGGGAGACGTCTTCCCCTGAAAAATATGTCTTTAAAAAACAAACAGAGGAGGAGCAGGATGTGTGCCGAAGGAGCTGAGCGGAGGAAGGATTACGCAGACCATGCTCACGAATCCTGTTGTGGAAACTACAACAAACGGTTTGGTAGTGATGGCAAGATGCTCATGTGGGCGATTAATGAGGAGTGTGGTTTCTGTGATGTTGCGTTGCTCCGCGGCACGTAGGTGTAAGTGGATGTTCTGCCGAGGCTTCGTCTCTGTAGGCTTGCGAGTTATTCTACCCCAAATGGTTAAAAGTGTCTTTGCTCATTGTGAGCTTCTTAGTGATGATGATGATGCATAGTTTATCATCTTTTCGTTGGTGTACAGTACCGAGACCTTGGTTCTCACCAGACCACTTGTTTTTTTCCTGATTCATAGTTCATACAACCGTAACCCTACATAATGGATTCAGATGCATAGCACACTTCTTTACCTCCTCCTTCAGTATTTTTGGATATCCTTGCCGTTTTAGTTTGAACCTGACAGGAATCTAGCCCGTCTTGGTTGAAAATGCCAGATTTTGCATGTTTCCAAAGCTTTGTGATAAACAGGAAACCGCATGTATAAAAACGGTGAGAAAGGTCACAGTCTGCTATACGGTGCTGTGAAGGTGTTCAAAACCGCCCCACGCTTTGTCACATCTACAAACTTTCATCGTGTTATTAAATTATGTGATGAGTCAACACTTTGCAAAATCGCCTTTTGCTGCAGGTACAGCTTCAAAAGTGTTTTGAATTATGTCTGTAGCAGCTTCCATTGAACGTTTTACTCGTCTGTCCTGATGAACGGCATCCCCACAGAATGACGCTGGCGCCACCATGTATCATAGAGAGAGTCGTGTGCTCGGGGTGACTTGAAGTGCTCACTTGCTGCTGCATACGACACAAAAATACTACTGACACTGCAAATGTCTGTTCAGGTTCAGTCAGCCTCAAGTGGTTTATCGCCAGTGAGGGCAGATCTGGCTGCATCACTCAGTTGCAGTTCCTTCTCTCAGATAAGGCTTTTCTTCACCTAAGCTGTATTCATCTGTTTGTTTAACCTGAGGTCGCTCACTTCCTTCTGTCCGTGTTTGAGGATGTCTGCTTTTTGTCTTAAATCCTCTCGTCATCTCCTGCTTTTGTGCTTTGTAAGAGCAATTGTGACCACACTTAATGTTTAAGGGACGAGGGTCTCTGTATTACAGTAACACAAGTGTTGCGTGGACGGGCTGGGCTCCGACGGCTCGATTGATCCCAGTCGATGCTGGAAATCTGCTAATTTGTTGTTCTAGTAGTAAGTAAATTAGAAGGTTTAATGATGATTTATTTTTGGAAGGGTACAGATATTTGTGACGATTCCTAAGATCTGTGGGCAGATAGATGTTTTTTAATAAGTTATGGAGGCAAGGGCAGAGACGCGTTTGCTAAATTGGAAGGTAAAACTTCCACTCACCTGACGGAACAGGATGCAGAGCAGAGGATTCTGGGTGAGAATGTGTGTGTGTGTTCTTGTTTTTGTAGTCCCAAAGGGACCTTGTCTGACGTAATCATCAACCTTTTAAGCACTAGCAGTCCTTCTGGGGAGCCCAACCCAGTCCAGGGCATTATGGTTGGGGTGAAGTGGGAATTAATGTACGAGACGGATTATTGTTGGTCATTCTAACTGTTGAATACCAGACTTAGTTTAGCCTGGAGGGTCAGTGCAGCGACGCGTAAACATCAACTCTGCACGTTTGCATCAAAGTTTTTAAGCATTATTTGTTTCTACTGTAGAACTCCTGTTTACGTCGACTTCCTTTTTCAAGGTGATTCACTAAAACATTATGCACAGACGTTTCTCACTATAGAGATGCAAATGTCTCAACAGTAATGTCTGAGATTCCAGGAAAAAAAACAAAAAAACTGCCGCTTGTTTTTTCTGGCTGCATGCCTTTTGCCTCAGGTTTCCCAAAACGTTTTTGTCTCAGAATCAGATGACTATTCTTCGGCAAATAAAGAGCTGTACATAAAGAAGCAAGCAAGTTAAGCCTGAAACATGATCACAAATGGGCTGAAGACGAACCGGCTTTTCTGGTGATCAAACCGTCTGTCTCCATGGATGTTGAGTCATTTGGATTCTCGTGCTTAAACGCCGACTCCCTTTTGGGAGTTATGGGAGTTTTAAAGCTTTGTTGTCGTGAAAGCAGCTACTTGAAAGAGAAGCGAAAGTTAGGTTTGGTTCTGTGGCCCCTTTTCCCCCCTCAGCCCACCTTTTTGCTGACTCAAAAGATGGCCTTCCTCTCTCTTAAATGCGGCTTTTCACAAACGGGCCTTGAAAATCTGTCGGATCTGAGTAAATGGGGACCAAACTTTGGTGATCCACACAAATGAAGAAATCTATTATGCAAAAAAAAAAAAAAAATCTTAATGTGAACCGTTCAGTGCTTCAGTCGAGGTTGGATAATTAATTAATTAAAACTCGCCAGATCTACTTTGTTACTGTCATTACAGTCATAAAGCAACACTTCCTTCTTTTTTATCAAATGTTGCCCCATGGAACAGGGATATAGGCTGTTACTCAAGAAGCTACAGCCGGAGTGCATTGTGCATGCCCCCTGCCTTGTAGTCCCATGGTTGGTTTTTGCAGTGGAATGCGATGCCCTAGGCTTCTTGTGGTAAGGGTGACCTAAATAGGCTTACATGACAAGAGTGCATAGCTCTACTACAAAAGAGATAATTCAGATTTCAGTGTTCAGGAGTTGCTCCTCATCTTTGTGCTGAAGCCGATGCAGAACCTTTTCATCTGCATCACTCTTTCAAAGCAGCCTACTATTTTTTATTTTTTTTTCCCTCACCAGAACCACATTGTTTTTTGTGTTTTTCTCTTTGCATTTACAGTTGCAGAGAAAACGTTTCCAGTCTGACATTATGTAAATTATTTATACTTGGTCTGCTCATGTTCAGACCACTTCGCATTAACACTGCATCTTTTTTTTTTTTTCCCCAAACGATCCAACAGAGCAGGTAACCAAATGATGTCTATGTAAACGTTGTGGCCTCTGTCACTCAGCAACCATCTCTCTCTGTTTTACTACCTTGTCTGTGTCATTATTTCTCTCTTTGGTTGTTAGCGGTTGTCTCTCTCTCTCTCTCTCTCTCTATATATATATATATATATATATATATATATATATATATATATTGAAATTTATATGTCCCACAATTGTGCGTACTCTTGTTATTCATTTAGGGATTTTCCATTGCGGCGCTTCCTTGACCTGGGCTGGTGGTCGCTGCAACCACATCACGATAAACAGCCTGTCCGGTAAATTCATCCATCCCACCTTCCCTGTAAACGGATGTTTGTGAGAATTTCTCAGTCCCGACTAGTTGATCTCTGGCCAGCAACGGCAGCGCTGGCAGAAATAGGTAAACAGCAGAAGCAAAAGATCAATATTGTTTAAGCTCTATTCGCTCATTTAAACCCTATAATGGGCCAGGTCTCAAAATAACTGGGTAGATCAAAAGCGATGCCAACTCAGGGTTTTCA